GGTCGTCTCTCAACCTCCTAGGCTCTAGTGAAAAAAGTCCCAGCCTATCCAGCCTTTCTTTATAACTCAAACCTTCCATACCCGGCAACATGCTGGCAAATCTCTTCTGAACCCTCTCGAGCTTAATAATATCCTTCCTGTAACTGGGTGACCAGAATTGGACACGGTACTCCAGAAGAAGCCTCACCAATATCCTGTACAACATCAACATAATGTCCCAACTCCTATACTCAAAGGACTGAGCAATGACGGCATGCATGCCAAATGCTTTTTAATTACCCTGTCTATATGTGATGCAAACTTCAAAGAATTATGTATCTGAACCCCTAGATGCCTCTGATCTACAACACTACCCAAGGCCCTACTATTAATTGTATAAACCCTACCCTTGTTTGTTTTGGCAAAATGCAATACCTCGCATTTATCCAGATTGAACTCCATCTGCCATTTTTCAGTCCATTGGCCCATTTGATCATCTTAGAAATGGTCTCAGAGTCTGAGTGAGATGTAGTTCAAACAGCGGGCTGAGGCACAATTCTACTATACCTTAGCTGCAGATAACTGTGTGACAGTAGTTGTAGTAAATGCAAATTCTGGGGTCATGGCTTCAGATGAGATAGCATTGTTAATAAAAAAGGAGAAGGCTCTAGTTGGCTTTGAACAGCTGCTCTAGTCATTATGTACTCTGAAGAAAGTGATCCCTAATTCACTCCATAATTCCTCTCTCCTTAACCTGCAATCAATCAGTTCCAGGCTCAGTAAATATCCAAATGTGTGTGGGATCGAAAAAGTATCAACTTTTTGCCAGAGTCAAAACAAACTTTGGGTTAGCTCACCAACGGCTAATGGAGATGGGAGGGAATTTAGAATTAGATAGCACATTGCTCCCAATCTGACTCTGGGTCTCTAAACACAACCACATACTGCCTCCTTATACACACTGGAGTCAGGGCACTGCTTGGCCTGGGAGTCACCAAAAGTACATTTGGCAGCACTTGGTTTTCAAAACATTCAAATAAATCATTGGGCAGAGCCAAGAGTCTGAAAGAAAAAACATTAGAAAACAGCCAATCAGCTAGGAGTTAGTGGGAGAACCAGTCTTATCAATTGTAGAAATAAATTACTGCAGATGCTAGAATTTGTACTGAACACAACAAAAGCTGGAGATCACAGCTTGTCAGACACCATCCATGGAGAGAGAGCAAGCTAACGTTTCGAGTCGAGATGAATCCTCATCAGAGCTCTCATGAAGTGTGGAGGGGGCCGCACTTATACCATTGTTGGGATTCCATCCTCTCCCTATTTGTCCAGACCCTGCTCACCTGTGTCTGCAATTCCTCTGATGCCCTGCACCCTATTGACAGTTTCCAGTTCCCTGGCCCTAACTGCCTCTTGTTCACCATGGAAGTCTAATCCCTTTATACCTCCATTCCCCACCAGGACGGTCTGAGAGCTCTCAGCTTCTTCCTTGACCAGAGGCCTGAACACTCCCCATCCACCACCACTCTCCTCTGCTTGGCTGAACTTGTTCTCTCACTGAACAATTTCTCCTTTACTTCCTCTCACTTCTGCCAAGTCAAAGGAGTGGCTATGGGCATCCACATGGGTCTCAGTTATGCCTGCCTCTTTATGGGGTATGTGGAACAATCCTTGTTCCAGACCAACACTAGCCCCCTTCCCATAACTCTTTTCTCATTACATCGACAACTGCTTCGGTGCCGCTTCATGCTCCCACCAGGATCTTGAAAAATTTGTTCATTTTGCCTCCAATTTCCACCCCTCTATAACTTTCCCACCATCCATTTTCGACACTTCCCTTCCTTTCCTTGTCCTCTCCGTCTCCATTTCAGGAAATTAACTGTCCACTGCCATCCACTACAAAGTCACTGACTCCCGTAGCTACCTTCGTTACAGCTCTTCCCACCCCACGACCTGCAAGGACTCCATCCTATTCTCCCAGTTCCTCCACCTACATTGTATCTGTTTGGATGATGCCACCTTCCAAAACAGCGCTGCTGACATGGCTTCCTTCTTCCATAACCATGGTTTCCCACCCACTGTGGTTGACAGGGCCCTCAACCTCATACGACCTATCACCCATGCTTTCAACATTGCCCCTTCCCATCACTCACAGCACCACGATCGGGTTCCCCTTGTCCTCACTTTTCATCCCACCAGCCTCCGCATTCAAAGGATCATTCTCCCCCATTTCAAACAATTCCAACAAAATACCACCAAACACACCTTCCCCTCACTCCCCTTGTCTGCATTTCACAGGGATTGCTCCCTCCAGGACACCCTAATCCATTCATTGACCATTAACACCAACCCCTTCCCACAGCACTTTCCCACGTAACCACAGAAGATGCAACATCTGCCCCTTCACCTCCTCCCTGCTCACCATCCAAGGGCCTAAATTGTATCTCCAGGTGAAGCAACATTTCAACTGTACCTCCTCCAATCTTGTGAATTGTATTTTCTGCACACAATGTGGCCTACTCTACATAGGAGAAACCAAACGCAGACTGGGTCACCGCTTTGCAGAACACCTCAGATCTGTGTGCAAGTATGACACCATCCTTCCTGTAGCTGGTCATTTTAACACAGTTTTCTGCTTGAATGCCTTGGCATGCTGCAATACTCTAGTGAATCACAGCGCAAACTGGAGGAGCAACATCTCATCTTCAGATGAGGCACTTTACAGCCTTCTAGACTTAATACTGAGTTTAACATCTTCAAATTGTGAACCAACTCCAATTTCTTCCCTTTCTTTTAGCTTTACTTGTTACATTCTCTGTCACCATATCCTCTCTCCACTCCCCCAAACTCCCAACCCAGTGGGACTTTCTGTTCTTGCAAGTCTGGTAGTTAGACACACCATTGGTCTGCCATTCTCACATTCCAATCACTTAACCTGAACTATCAACGTCCTTTCTCCCCTTAGCATTCTACACCCACCACCCCCAATGCCCCCCAACCACAGCATAAATGCTGCCCCTTCCACACTTCCGTTCTGATTTAGAGTCTCTAGACTCGAAACGTTAGCTTGCTCTCTCTCCATGTATGCTGCCTGACCTGCTGTGATCTCCAGCATTTGTTGTTTTCAGTGTTATCACTTTGTCAGCTCAGCTTGTTTGTGCTGAGTCAGGGACAAGGTGCACGACTTGGGATTGTTATACTCGAGTAAATTCCACAAACTACTCTCGGATATTTTACCATGTAAAAGACACTGTATCAACATGAGTTGTAGTGACTGAATGTATTGGAAAAGTGAAATTTCATCTCCTGCACTGCCCAGTTGAGTGGTTAAACTTCCTCTTATGGGTGGCACAGTACTACATTAGGGTAGCTGAGTGACACATGAATGTTGGAACCATTTCTAAGGTACAATTTCTTCACTTCATTTCTTCCTGGGAGTTAAACAGAGTCATTACCAATTTAAGTCAATCCTAGTTTTGCATTGTCTAAGTGAATAGTATTTCCTTACAGCACTTGCCAATTTTGATGAGGGAAGGTGATAGACACCACATAGCTGACCACCCACATTCATTATATGTGATCCTTTATACCAACAACCCCTGTGGAACCTGAGCTTTTGGGTCTTTACCTAAATAAAGCTTTCATGCGTGTGGAATTATGCTTGAAATCCCTGGTCTAAGGATCAGTAAAACCAAACCAACAGCCTGAGGGGATTAATTGTGATAGGGATTGAAATTACACGTTCAGTCACATTTGTTGGATAATACTGAGCTCGGTGTGTGGCCATTTCAATTGGTTAGAATCTTAGAGTCATACAGCGTGGTAACAGGCCACTTGGTCCAACTAGTCCATGCTGACTATGTTCCCAAACTAAACTAGTCCCACCTGCCTGCACTTGGCCTATATCTCTCTTAACCTTTCGTATTCATGAACGTATCTAAATTTCTTTTAAATGTTGTTAATTGTACCCGCATCCACCACTTCCTCATGAAGTGCATTTCACACATGAGCCACCCTCTGCGCAAAAAAATTGCTCCTCGTGTCCTTTTTAAATCTTTCTCCTCTCACCTTAAAAATATGCCCCCTAGTTTTGAACTCCCCCACCTTAGGGGAAAGACCTTTGTCATTCACCTCATCTATGCCCCTCATGAGTTTATAAACCTCAATAAGGTCACCCTTCAACCTCCTACACTCCAGTGGAAAAAATCCCAGTCTTTTCAGGCTACTTTTGTAACACAAACCATCCATTTCTGACAGCATCCTGGTAAATCTCTTCTGAACCCTCTCCCGTTTAATAATATCCTTCCCATAACTGGGCGACCAGAACTGGACACAGTATTCCAGAAGAGGCCTCACCAATGTCCTGTACAACCTCAATGTGACTTCCCAACTCCTATACTCAAAGGACTGAGCAATGAAGGCAAGCATGCCAAACACCTTTTTAATTGCCTCCTTGACCTGTCTGTCTTCCCTCCCACTCACCCGCCCCTCCTTCCCAACTGACCAATCCCCATCCCAACTCCTTACCTACACTCACCTTTACTGGCTCCATCCCCGCCTCCATGACCTATCCGTCTTCTCTTCACGTGTCTGCTCCTTTATCCACCTCCCATCATTGCCTCCCCCACTATCTCTGTTTATTTCAGAGTCCCCTTTCCCTCCCCCATTTCTGAAGAAGGGTCCAGACCCGAAACATCAGCTTTCTTGCTCCTCTGATGCTGCTTGGCCTGCTGTGTTCATCCAGCTCTACACCTTGTTATCTCTTTTTAAATCACTCTGTTGCTTTGTGATGCAAACTTTAAAGAATTATGTATCTGCACCTCTAGGTCCCTCTGTTCTACAACATTACCCAGGACGCTACCATTAATTGTATAAGTCCTGCTCCTGTATGTATTACCAAAATACAATACTTTAGGACATGCTGAGGTGCTAAAAGGCACTGTACAAATGCAAGTCTTTCCCATTTCAATCAATGTGAGAATTGGCCCTGGCTGATTTTGGAGAAATGCTGATGTCCTTACCACCACCACAGGTTGCGCTACACTCCGTCCACAAGCCGTATCTCCAGAAAAACTCCGGCGGTGGAATTTCATTCTCATCATCCAGGTCACGTCGAATGGTGTATTCAAAACGCACCCCAGGGTTTGTCTCCTGAAACAGCAGCTGTAACAAAAATTAACAGAAAATGTGTTGATTTTTTAATGCGTATGTTAATGAACTGATAGGAACCGGGAAACTGAGTGATTTCTGGTGTCATTAGTCTCTTTAACCAGGTATCAGTTGGAATGCAGGAATTTCTGCACATTTTAAAAAGCAATAAGTGTTGATTTGTCAGATATATGGTCAAAGATATATATAGGCCATGTAACCACTTTCAATTGTTACAAAAACCCATTTGGTTCACTAATGCACTGCAGGGAAGGAAATCTGCCATCCTTACCTGGTCTGGTCTATGTGTGACTCCAGACCCACAGTAATGTGGTTGACTCTTAACTGCCCTCTCGGCAATTAGGGATGAGCAATAAATGCTGTGATGCCCACATCACATGAATGAATAACAAAAAAAAATCAATTCGAGCCAACACCAAACAGAGGGATTTGTGTGGTTCAATGGATAACTGTCTTGCCACTGAAGATGATGGACCCTTGGAACGTAAAAATCTAGGCTGATATTGTGGGAGTGCTATGTGGTTGGAGGCACTGTCCTGTGACGAGACATTGAACCTGGTCTGATCTTTCAGCCAAATGTTAAAGATTATGCAACACTATTTTGAAGATGAGTGTTCTGACCAGCATTTACCTCTCAATGGACATTGCTGAAACAAATTCTCTGGTCAGTATTGTGAGACAACAAGGTGCAGGGCTGGATGAACACAGCAGGCCAAGCAGCATCATAGGAGCAGAAAGGCTGACGTTTCGGGCCTGGACCCTTCATCAGAAAAGGGGGAGGGGAAGGGAGTTCTGAAATAAATAGGGAGAGAGTGGGAGGCGGATAGAAGATGGATAGAGGAGAGGATAGGTGGAGAGGAAACAAACAGGTCGAAGAGGCGGTGATGGGGCCAGTAAAGGTGAGTGTAGGTGGGGAGTCAGGAAGGGGATAGGTCAGTCCAGGGAGGACGGACAGGTCAAGGGGGCGGGATGAGGTTGGTCAGTAGGAGATGGAGGTGCGGCTTGAGGTGGGAGGAGGGGATAGGTGGGAGGAAGAACAGGTTGGGGAGGCAGGGACGAGTTGGACTGGTTTTGGGATGCGGTAGGGGGAGGGGAGATTTTGAAACTTGTGAAATCCACATTGATACCATTAGGCTGCAGGGTTCCCAAGCGGAATATGAGTTGCTGTTCCTGTAACCTTCGGGTGGCATCATTGTGGCACTGCAGGAGGCCCAGGACGGACATGTCGTCTGAGGAATGGGAGGGGGAGTTGAAATGGTTCGCGACTGGTAGGTGCAGTTGTTTATTGCGAACCGAGCGTAGGTGTTCTGCAAAGCGGTCCCTGAGCCTCCGCTTGGTTTCCCCGATGTAGAGGAAGCCACACCGGGTACAGCGGATGCAGTATACCACATTGGCAGATGTGCAGGTGAACATCTGCTTGATGTGGAAAGTCTTCTTGGGGCCTGGGATGGGGGTGAGGGAGGAGGTATGGGGGCAGCTGTAGCACTTACTGCGGTTGCAGGGAAAAGTGCCGGGTGTGGTGGAGCTGGAGGGGAGTGTGGAGCGGACAAGGGAGTCATGGAGAGAGTGGTCCCTCCGGAAAGCAGATAAGGGTGGGGAGGGAAAGATGTCTTTGGTGGTGGGGTCGGATTGCAGATG